GAAATCTTAGAGGCCTTCCTGGAACAGGAGTTAATCAGAAGCCAACACAGTAGTTTAGCATCCAAGATGGAGCTGCTTTAGCCTCAACAGAGGAGTTGTAGGCTCATAGCAACATTGAAAGGGAGGTAGAGAGATTTCCCATCTGCCCCCTGCCCCACACATGCACCTCCTCTCCCATCATCATCTTCTACCAGAGGGTACATTTGTTACAATTGATCAACTCACATTGTCACATCATAACCACCCAAAGTCTATTGTTGACATGAGGGTTCACCCTTGGTGTTGTACATTCTATGGGTTTGGACACATTTCTAACATGTATCCACCACTACAGTATCACACAGGGTTTTTTCACTGCCAGGGTGCTCTGGGTGGAGGTGAGCCACAAGAGGGATGGCACCTGCAGGCTCTGGCCAGGGGGAGCGGGGTGGCCATTGAATCCATTATCAGCCACAGATCCCCAACTGCAGTTGGAGACAGGCTTTACTCTGGGCCACCAACCAAAGCCTGAGCTTTTCCCAGACAGATTGGGTTTTTGTTTTCGTTGTTTTTGAGATGGAGTCTTGCTCGGTCGCCGAGGCTGGAGTACAATGGCGCAAGCACAGCTCACTGCAAACTCTGCCTCCCAGGCTCAAGCGATCCTCCCACCTCAGCCTCCTGAGTAGCTGGGACCACAGGCATGCGCCACCACATCCGGCTCATTTTTATATTTTTTGTAGAGACAGAGTCTTGCCATGTTTTTATATTTTTTGTAGAGACAGTCTCACCATGTTGCCCACGCTGGCCTCAAACTCCTGACCTCAAGCAGTCCTCCTGCCTTGGCCTCCCAAAGCGCTGGGATTAGAGGCATGAGCCACCACCCCTGGCCCAGACTTTGTTTTTTTTGTCATTGTTTGTTTTTGAGACAGTCTCCCTCTGTCACCCTCGCTGGAGTGCAGTGGCACTATCTCGGTTCACTGCAACCTCTGCCTCCCGGGTTTAAGCGATTCTCGGGCCTCAACCTCCCAAGTAGCTGGGACTACAGGCATGTGCCACCACGCCCGACTAATTTTTGTATTTTTAGTAGAGATGAGGTTTCACCACGTTGCCCAGGCTGGTCTTGAACTCCTGACCTCAAGTGATCTGCCACCTCGGCCTCCCAAAGTGCTGGGCTACAGGTGTGAGCCACTGCACCCAGCCTCCTTCCAGACTTTGTGCCATGGAGCTGTGGGGGCCAGGACCATTGGCCCCTAAGGGTTCACTGAAAAATCACTGGCACAAGGCAGACAATTATTAGAAGTAAAGGGAATCTCAGTAGGTTTGGGTCTGCACCGTGCATACTGGACTTTCCATTCATTCAGAACAACTTACTGAGCCTCTTTATGTGCCCAACACTGTGCTAGGCATCGGGGAAGCCATGGTGAGCTAGACAGAGAGTCCTGGTCTCCCAAGCTTCCGCCCGGGAAAGTGCCAGCCAGGAGAGCAATATAGAAAGGGAACCTAGGAAGGGATATGGGAAAAGGGCTCCCTACGGGATTTGTTGGATGTGACAGGGCAGAGGAGGAGGGTACTGGGAAGACCTAGGGGTGAAGAGGGAACGAGGGCAGGGCCCGCTGGGACAGCCACCCTTAGTGCTTACTGCAGCCTTCTTCATAGTTGAACCTCCCCATCCTACAGCACAGGAAGCTGCAGGAGGTGCCTGGTGGAGAGTCTGCTCAGAAATCATTTGAACAAACGACTTTTATGGACTTTTGTTCATCCCCCGAAGCTCCTGGGGCACCGCTGCAGGATTTTAAATTGGGGAGTGGCATGGTAGCTTCGTGGTTTTGGAAGAGTGTTTAGGCTCTAGCAGGGGAAACAGAGGGTGGGCAGGATGCCTGGGGAAGGGGGAGAAGAATGAGAGCAGCGAGGGAGCTGCAAGGGTGGCCTGGCCCAGGATGGTGGCCGTGAGGCTGCGCTCAGGGAGTTGGCAAGAGCGATATACAGGATATGACAGGACTTTGAGATACGGGGTGTAGCAGTGGAACAGGAGGATGGCTCAGGCAGACAGAATTTCTGAGGTAGCCCCCCAGAGATGCCCTGCCCAGAACCTGTGAGTATGAGGAGCTGTCACTCCTGCATGTCTCGTTATTTGGCACAGTTGACTCAGACGGGGAGACAATCCAGGATTATCCGGGTTAGCCCAGTGTAATCCCTTGAGGCCTGAAAGCAGAAAGCTTTGTTTGACTGGCGGCGGAGGGGCAGTGGCGGAGATCCCAGGAGCAAGCAGGATCTGAACGCTGCTCCCGGCTGTGAGGATGGGGGGACCACGAGTGAGGACCAAAAAGCAACCACAGCAGCTGAGAGTGACTGGCTGACAGGAGGCGGGACCCAGGTCCTACAGCCACCGGGAACTGAACCCTTCCAGCAAGAGGAGTGAGCCTGGAGGGGGATTCCAAGCACCAGATGAGATCACGGTGGATGGAGACTTTGATGTGAGGCTTCAACCCAAGCCCTGCCCTCCAGGACTTCTGACGTACAGACCCGTGAGATAAT